GTATGTATGTAGATACATTAGTATATATATATATGTATATATATATGTGTATACATATATATATGTATGTATGTATGTATGGATGTATGTATGTATTTATGTATGAATGAATGAATGTATGCATGCATGGATGTATGTATGTATGTATGTATGTATGTATGTATATATATAATATGATGTATAGAAGAAAAAAATACTAAGCTTCTAAAAGTGATGCCATGCGGGCGGACAAAAGCGCAAATGCCAGTGGCCAAGTACGTACCGGGTGATCGTTTGCCTGTATTTTCCTGTACAAGTTCCAGCAGGCCTCCCGATCTTTTTTGTTACTGTACAGTGACAGCAATGAGGACTCGAATCCACTGTCCATCTCTACACCCTGGCGACCTATGAGCTTCAGCAGGTCAAGCTCGCTGTGCCCAGCCTTTGTGTATACACCCAGCATGATATCAAATGTGTGTATTGTGGGTAGCAGCGATTCATCGCTCACACTGTTTAAACATAAATGCAAAGCGTGTGAGAAAACAGTACGTGAAAGTGTATAAAGTGCGGTTATCCCATTTTCTTTTATACCAGAGTTTGACTGGTATTAAATGTGTGTAAGTGGGTAACAGCGAATTTTCCCTCACTAATTGCGTATATATGGCTTCACGTATCTGAGCGTATGAAAGAACATCTACAGTGTCGTAAATTTTTTAACATCATCTTCGCGGCGCGTGGATACACATCTACATAAGCAAATACGTATAAATGTGTCGTTAAAAAGAAAGAAAAAACCTTTGGCCCTATATCTTTTTCTACATTTCAAATCGAAGTAGGCAAAATAACCCATCCAGAATAACCCCATCCAACTCTGCGTATCTATGCGTCAACTACACTATATTCTACCTCGTTTTCTTGACGTGCACACAACATCTAGCATTATTTTGAAGGTGCTACAAATAGACATACAGAGGTGAACAGTAGGACAACATTCTCAGCGATATATGTAAAACAGATCATTTGCTATGAGATGTGTATGTGGGCGCCACTAGCAAGCATTCGAGCTAGACAGATGGGCAATTATCACCCACCATCGCATTGTATGTGCTACGAACAGTCGTGCAGAGACGGACAATAAGTAAAAGTAAACTTCGCCAAATAAGGCAGTTAGCACCCACCATTGCCTTGTATGTGCTACAAACAGTCGTGCAGGGACGGACAATAAGTAATAGTAAACTTCGCCAAATAAGGCAATTAGCACCCACCATCGCCTTGTGTATGTCCTACAAACAGTCGTGCAGAGACGGACAATAAGTAATAGTAAACTTCGCCAAATAAGGCAATTAGCACCCACCATTGCCTTGTCTGTGCTACAGACAGTCGTGCAGGGACGGACAAGATATAAAAGTAAACTTCGCCAAATAACTCTCACAGCAACATATGCAGTATAAATTACTCGCTCCAATCGTCACTTACTCGCAGAGCTCTCTGAAGATGGTAATAGCCTCGGCTCTATCCTGGTCACGCGGGCTGTCGCGGCACAGCCGAAAGAACACATTGTACAGCTGTATGTCTTGCTGCACGCCTTCCTGCTTCAACTGTGCAATGAGCGACATTGCAGCACCTACCCCGTCTGCTCTCATGCACACGTCCAGGAGTTCGGTATAGGTGATCACATCCGGCTCGACCATGTCCTGGGTGTTGGAAGAGATGTTCTCGTGTAAGCCCTTGGGGGAGATGGCGTATTCTCACTTCGGTTCTAAACCGTGTATTGAGTGACTCGACGTAGCACAATTGAGGTACGTACTTCAGAAGAAAACCATGAACGGCTATGAGTGGCCTATCAGAAACTATTTTTTGCATCGAGTGAAGAGGTAAAATCGGGACGTTGAGCGTGCTAGAGGCTAGTTTGTGAGAGTGCTGTCTCCTTAAGATGCTCGTATGTATCGAATAATACTCTCAAGAGCCATTTTTGCCGATACTATCTCGCGCTGAGATTCCCAAAAGACTCCAGAAAAAAACATCGCACAATGATTGAGTCGGCGAAATATATCATCTTCAATTATGCATATAAATAAAAATATGTCTTGACAGACTTCAATTGTCACTTTCAAATATGTACGTGTTGATTAAGAATCGTGATTGAACAATCGAATGACTGATATGGAGACACCTGGGTCACTGGCAGCTATTCCATCTGGCTCAATGGCGATACACAAGAGATTTAGTATAGCACGTACTTTGACGCAGTATAGTGTGTACTTCGATCTACCTGTTTCATCCGTTCAAAGGCTGCGTGGGCTGCCTGGGGATGTTTGCTTTTGCGAATTGCTGCCAACAATGCATTGTACGTCTGAACTGTTGGCTTGACCCCTCGCCTTCGCATTTCGTCTTCCATTTCCAGTGCTTCTGTCAGGTGAATACCTTTGAAAATACTCATAGCTACACAAAAGAGGAACAAGAAATATAGATGAGAAACTCGAGAGCTTGCCTCTGAAGAAATATAGATGAGAAACTCGAGAGTTTGCCTCTGGTTCTAACGATAGGAAAGTATGTACAGGCCTAATAACAACCGATGACAATAGCTCACGCAATCAGTCAGGGATACATATAGACTAAGATCGAATAGAGAGGCATGAGACTGACATCCACCGAAGCACCGTGAGTGAGTGAAGGGAAACGTGGCATACGTCACAGCGATTGGAAAACAAGTTATGAAATCATCGACAGTCATATGATAGTAAACAACCAAAGGCAACGGCGCGGGGGCGAGCTGAGCATTCGTCTGTTGGATCGTTTTTGAGATACAATTGATACAGGGCATACTATTTCCCATTATATACATCACACTGGACGCATCAAAATACCTTGGAAAAGGGCAGTATATGTCCTCGAGTCAGGCTTTATACTGTGGTAATTCAGCATATGTCGATAGACAAAAATGGCCCTCCTTAAATTTCCCCTTTTCCCCAAGCCTGCTAGCAGTGTGTTATATAGTGGTAGCGATGGGGTATAGTTTTTGTTCTTGAAGTGCTCCATGAGTTTTGTGAATGCCATGTCGTCGTGGAAGCTGTCGTGTTCGGCCTGAAACATTGTGAAAATCAACTGTGTAAGTCATTTGCCTTCCCAAAATGCGAAAGAATATGTGGCTAACACGTGTAGATCAACAGTTTAAAACGATAGGCTTGATTTAAATCATGTAAACATGTATTTGAAATCATGTAAACATGTATTTGAAATCATGTAAACATGTATTTGCGTAACGTAACAGTATGCCCGTATACGCCAACACAGATGTATACGTCGAAATATTTACAAACTCTAATGAGAACTATACACAGACAACCGTAACATGATAATTGTGACACACGAGTGCTCGATACTGTAGAAAGAATTCTGAAAGGAAACGTGTGGTGCACGGAAGGTCATGGCATCAGACAGACAAGGGCAAACGGGGACGGAATGATGCACAAGAGACTTTGAAAACTGAGTGACCATCCAATACAGGATGCAAAACATACAGAGTTCGCAAACTTTTTCCCCCAGTAGTAGTTTTCGTCTCTTTCCAGTTGAAGATGTATTTTCCGCTCCCTGTCAGCATCAGCGGTCTGTGTGTCTTCTGCTGTCAATTTCTTACCATCCAAGAGCCTTTGCGTGTCGATATCGATGACAATACCAGTACCTAATGATAAAACATAGCAAACAATACATACATCTAAGTCTCGATTACTAATCAAGAAAATATAGACAAAGCCAGAAGTGGCAAAGACTGCAGAAATAACATCTGATAAAAATNTATATATATAAAA